AAAAGTGAGATAAGTTATTTTCAGTAATAATGTGTCTACTTTTGCAATCCGTGAAACTATTTCAGTAATAATTTGTCCATTTTCACTATCCTTGAACCTCCCGTCAAATCTAGCCTAGGAAAAAAAAGTAGATTTTATCTAGCCTATAGATTCTTGTGTTTTCTATATTTACTTACACGAATTATAAGTATAAACATTTAGATATAGTTAGTTTAGTAAATTAAATATTAATAAAAAGATTACACCCTAAAAAATTACTTATAAGAAAAAAAAAGCACTTAAAATTATTTAAAAGTAATAAAAAAATTTAGAATTGTAAAAGCTACTTATAGTTAAAAAAATATTAATCACTCATTCTCTTACAATTACAAAAGCTACTTATACGTGAAAAAATATTAACTTAAAATTTGTTAAGTATAAATATTTACATATATTTAGTTCTTAAATTAAATATTAATAAAAATATTACACTATCTAGAATGTAAAAAGTTAGTAAAAAAAATTACATCAAGTTATTTAAAAGTAATAATAAGAATACTTATAATTGAAAAAACTACTTATAGATAATAAAAAAAATTAATTTCAACATTATTAAGTAAATATTTAGCTATATTTAATTTTTAAAAATTAAATAATAATAAAAATTAACACTCCGTGCATGGAGTGATTCCACTATCACTCCATGCACGAAAGCTATCACTCCGTGGATGGAGTGGGATCACTGCATACACGGAGTTAATTTGTTTGTGTGTTTTTTTTCTTTTCTTTTTTTGTTGTAATCTTTTTGTTATTAATTAATTTTAAAAAATTAAATATATCTAAATATTTACTTCAACATGTTTACATTAATATTTTTATTTATCTATAGGTAGCTTCGACAATTATAAGTTTTTTTATTATTTTTAAATAACTTAAAGTGTTTTTACTTATAAGTAACTTTTTACATTCTACATAGTGTCATCTTTTTATTAATATATTTAATTTCGAAAACTAAATATATCTAAATTTTTGTACGTAAAAAATTTTAAGTTAATATTTTTTTATTTGTAAGTAGCTTTTGCTATTAGAAGCGAAGGAGTCATTAATATTTGTTTACCTATAAATTATACACAAAATTTAACTTGTTACAAATATAACTTTTTTTATATACAACAAAATAATTTATACAAACGCGTTATATTAAGTAGGTTGTCACGTGCTTCAATAATTTCTTTCTTCTGTAATAGTTGTTTTTGGAAAGAGTGAGATAAGTTATTTTCAATAATAATTTGTCTATTTCTGCAATCTGTGAACCTATTTCAGTAATAATTTCTCTATTTCTACTATTCATGAGTCTCTTGTCAAATCTAAATAGGAAGGAAAAGTATATTTTATCTAACCTATATAGTTTCTTCTGTTTTCGATATTTACTTGAATTTTTCATCTTTCAAATTTGCATATCTTACTCCAGGCTTGTCGGTGCTTCACTCAAATAGGTCATTATCTATTTACTCTCTCAAAACTAGAATTTTGTAGTTTTAGGGCTTGTTTGAGCCACATTATTTTTAAAAAAAAAAACATTTTTAACAGTTATTTGATATCATTTCAATCACACATTCTTCAATAAAATAATATTACACTCAAATCTAAAAATTTTCCTTATTTTTTAATCACACATGGGCTTAAGTTACAACTTGTTCGAGGATTGACTCACTCTTACCTAAAAAAATGTAGATGCACATAATTTGTTATTATTCTTGCTATAAGTTATAAAAACTTACTTACTCATATAAAAAAATGTATATTATTCTTGTGAAAATTATTCTACCACAACATTTCAGAATGGACGTTCCACGTTGTTTTTACATAACCGTCAGTAATTCCCTCAATCATAGCATCAGTCTGGTTAGTCATACAATAATTTTTTTTGTACTATAATAAATTTTTACTAATATATTACATATATTTTTCGAACATATATACAAAGCTGATGCCTAGATCTTTTGTGAAAGACTGGAGACACGAATGCGGTGATGTAGTACGAGTAATTGCATACGATGATATAATTGTGACCATCGGATTATAAAGAGTTCATGGGAAAATATATTAACTCATGGATGTGAGCAATTTTTCGACCATCACAATTTACATGATGGTTATTGTCTGATATTTGAGTATACCGAAAATTTCACATTCAACATGACTATAATTGACAATTTTGGATTAGAAGTGAAATATGACTCAGACATTACAGAAGAAGGTGAAGAAAGCAATAATTGAAATATGCATAATCCTGTTTTCGAAGTAAAGTTAACACCCTATCGACACAGCCACCAAAAAATTGTAATGATTTTTTTTTTTTTATATTTCAGTCTACATTTGTGCTCAGCCTATAATTATGACTACAAGACTAATAATGCGTTCATGGTTTTGCAGTATGTACCGAGAAGATTTGTCAGGCAGCATTTGCCAAAATTCGTGCGCAGTGTTCAAATCCATGACTCTTTACATCAGAATTGAGATATCACCACGAATTTAAGGCCAAATGGTGAAATACGCTGTCTTACTATAGGCTGGGCACATTTTCTCTCCTTCAAGGAATTACAAATGAGTGATATATGTGTCTTTGAAATACTAAACGAACCTCCCGAATTTTTGATCTACAAAAAAAAAATCACATCGATGGAAGTTTGACACAAATATGAGAATTTTTAATTTTAACTTGTTTTAGGCTTTACTTATTCCCGTATATAGTCATAATGTTTTCCAACAATATTCATGTTAATCTAATTTGTTATTAGTCAATCTGATTTCATTTACTTTTATTATGTGTTTATATATTCTATTTACATTTAAATAACTTTTAATTCTGCACAACTAAAGAATACTACACCATTTCCTATTTTCAGCTAAACATAATGTCCCGTACAAAATGATTGTACATTCATTCCAATATAACAAATCAATATCCAACATAAAACTGGAAAAAAATAAAATAAAATAAAATTTGAGAGTAGATTTTTCTTTAACTAATATATGTTGTTACTACCACAAACAACGAATTACACAAATACCCCTCAACACAATATTTTTTACGCCTCTCTGCAAATTTTAATTAGGACAGGAAGAGAGCACAAAGAAATCTTCAAAAATAGCAAGAATTGAAGTACAAGGAAAAAAAATTTCAAATTTTCTGTTCTAACTTAGAGTGTACCCAACACATACATAGAGGACAGTAAAGAATTGCATAGAAGATCTTTTCGATAGCGTTCAACTCTGTTTCAGTGTATTTAGATGTTATTTGGAAGAGAGGTCTATTTGTAGAAGCCGCAACGATTTGTTTTATGTTTGCGGATAGATGAGCATCTGTGTTTTGCATCTCATGTTTTCCTTCTGGGTTCGTTGTCTTCAAATCGATGTTAATTTGAGTTGAATTCTTCACACAACTGCTTATAGTTGAAACATTTACTTCAGTCGTTGCATTTAAGAAATCCACATCAGCAATTGATATTACAGCATTGAAGACAAAAAAAAAATCATAACGATACTCAGGGGATCCTTTTTTCATAAAGATTTGACTATCATGAATTTAAATGAAATCTATAAGATCAAATTAAAGGCCGACAAAGTCAGAACAATGGAAGCATAGCTAACGTTTGGACAATGAACAGAAGATGTATGATTTTGTCTCGTCTGAATTCTTACTGATAGTCACTGCAATATACTATGAAAAATAGTTGAACAAGTGTACAATCATTCATTTCGACGTTGAATTGAATGAAATGTCAATTTCATAAACTGACAGTGGAAAAAACTCAGCTAAAGCTATCTAATATTCCCATTTTTCTAGGAAAAAAAAATTAGAATTTCATGTATGATAGCCATCAGGGAAGTCATAGACAAAGAGAAAAATTGCAATATATTTAACATATACCTATGAGGAAGTTGCAGTTCTATGGATGTACAGACAAAAAAACTTCCTTGTACACAACATTTTTAGTACATAAGTTGTGCGTATGATTTGTGTTTGACGGTTTCGGCAGAACTTTTATAGATTTGATTATTTTTGCTCTCGATAATACTACATATAATTGACCATGGCAAAAAACTGGTTTTGGAATATACAAACCTACGAAATCAAGTGTTTGACCCTATGCTTTATTTATTGTCATTGTAAAGCACGGTCTAATTGGGAACTGAGTCATTTTAAATGGAATTGTAGTTTGATCAATTTTGAGAGGTATAAATGGGATCCTAGGTAAGAAAACTTGTTTTCCACGATATTCACCAATTGTGATTTCAGCAAGAATAACATTTCTCTCAAATTTTGACAAGTAAGGCGTGTTCCATTACATAACCCCTCAGGAGGATTGATAATCTATAATAACATTACAGGACAATTCACCTTAAGTTTCAAATCATGAGGTGGAATACCATTTGGTGTCAAAGTATTCAAGAAGTCTTCCTGTAGGCTTTGTTCTAATTTCTCTATTTCTTCATCAAAACTATAATACGAGGAACTTTGACCAGAAATTTATTCAAGCAAAAGTCCATTAATATAGTCAACACGTTCATTTGTAAGCGTAAAAATAACATAATTTACCATTGCATGTAAATGATCGGCATATGCTTCTATATTGGGAAAAACACAATGTATCAAATGTTTTAAAGACATAATTTCATCTTCGAACGGTAAAACTATACTAATTGGTAGCTTAATACACTTACAAGTAGGTTATTTTTCAGTTCCATCTCCAATTGTAAATATTCACAAAACATAGGATCGGACTTCGCTCCCATATTTTCAACCAATGATAAATGTATGAAAAAAGGCCATAATTATGAGTAAATCAGGCTTGCTTTGACTATGTCTTCTTTGTTTCCTTTAGGTACAACTGGTAAAATCTATCTAAAATCTCCTCCAAAACCTACTACTTTTCCACTAGAAGAGAAGTTACAATCAGTAATAGCTCTAAGCATTTTGTCTACAACCTCTATAGCACTAATATAGGCACTTCATCTTAAATTATTAGCCTTGACATTTTCAATAAAGTTTCCAAGGCCGATTGTTTGCTAACGGAGCAATTAACTTCTCCTATAGTTTCTAAAGGGATTTTAAATCTTGAATGAGCAGTTCGACCTCTAGGTAATAGAGATGCAGCCACTCCAGACGATGCAGTTGCCAAAGCAATTAAATGTCGACTTCTCACACCAGTTAGGAGTGCTCTATAAAAAAAAGTCTTACATATCCCTCCTGGACCATCAATGAAAAAAGTGCCACTTGATTCAGCTTTTACTTTTTTCATGATCATATCATATGCAAACTGTTGTTCTTTATTTAATGTCGCTGCACAAGTAAAACCTCTTTCAATATCCAAATTTGTTGTTTCCTCTGCAACCATTTTCATCAATTTTTTATTGTCAGCTATATTTACGTTAAATGACACGATTCCATAATCAATTATATTTTTACCAATTGATTCTAAAATAGAAATTATATCCTCCAGAGCTCGTATTTCAGCAATTTCAATAGGCATATTTTGATGTACATAATCAGTAGTCATATAAGGCTTAAATTTATCCCATAATAACTTGGAATTATTGGGATTGTACATAGTAAGAAGCGTAGCAAAGAGACGTCTTAAAGAATAAGACATTTCGTAAATAATGGCTTCGAATAAATATTCTTCACAATGATTGTCTCCATTTAATAAACCATGTAGAAGTGCAGCTTCTCGGAATGTACCGACATTTACCCCATTGAAAGTTCTTATATCGTCAAATGATGTTGGGCCTCTAATATAATTAAGAAGAAGGCGAAGAAAATATCGTTCTGCTTCAGATGGATTCATTGAGACAATTTGTCATATAACAATCTATTTCTTTCTAGGAGTCCAAATTTTGTTATTTGCATTCCAAACAAAATATGTAGGAAAATATCGATACAAAAGTGTTCAAACAAATTCGTTTACGTTATTCACTCGAAAAAACTCGGTTAACATTGTTCTTCTCGTATTTTCATTGTCAATAATAGCAGATAAATCGTCCGTATTTTTGTAAGTTACACGTTGACGATCTTCAATATGAAGTTGTAGAGCACAAACAATTGGATAGATTTCTGACAAATTGAAAGAAAAAATCCTCCACATAGTTTCAGGTGGAGATATCCATCTAGAAGATTGGTAAGTAAAGATTTCGTCGATGTCTTTGTCTGTCTCATTTTTTTCAACGAAAAAATTAATATGATCATGGCCTTTGTATACATATTTGTACAAATATTTTTCAGTTTTAACAGAAGAGCGTACTTCAACATTGATATGACAGTCAAATTTTGTACTTAAATAAGGATTATATGGTACAACCCATTAATTGTCTAACATTTGACCTCTCACTTTAACACAAATACCATTATTACGCCGCATATACAACGGGTATGAATTATCTCTAAGTATAGTATTATTACAATAATCTTTCGGATATTTATTTTTACAACCGCTATTTGTCACCATACATACATTTTTAGGATTCAGTTTTCCATAAGGACCATGTATATTGTGCTTTACAATAATAGAATGAAGATGAGGGTGTATATTTTTATCAGGAATTTCACAAGAGACTATCCTATCAACTTGCTCAATGGAAGAAATTTTATGACCAAATCAAAAATAGATGTGCATGAGGGAGACCTCTTTTTTGAAATATAATCACATATATATGAGCAATAACGGGACCAAAAATATTATTCTTATATAAATCATTTTTAAGTTCTTCTACTTTTGCTCTAAATACACGTACAATCAAATCTGGTCGATTTTGAACCTCATTATTATGTTTTAATTCTTGCTTAATTTCTTGTTAATTTGGATTACATGTTATAGTTAAGAATAAATCTGATTTTTCATAACGTTTGATAAGAGTCATAACATCTAAGTACCCCCTTATTATATCTCTAAGTCCACATGTAAAGGATTGTGGTAAAACAACTTTCTTTCCAATTTTGTACCCTCTAGTTTCTCATTTATGTACACTATCTACAATACCTTGATAAAATTTAGCACAAATTTATTTCTGATTATTACGAAAATAATCTAACATGAATGTCTCTATCTTAACGTACATATCTACAACATATTGTTGGAAAAGTCTGCCTGTATGAAGCAACATAGACTTACTAGAAGGCCTAATCAGTAACTTGTACGAATAGTACTCACGACATGATGCTTGTGACCATTTCTTCGTTTCCTTAAGCACTGCCCAAGGAAAAATGAAGCAAATTTTATATTTACTTCAAACATCACATCTATGGAGATATAAGAGAGACACGAGAAAGTATATAAACAAACCTTCAACCTCTTTTTCAATAATTTGAGCTGCATAATTTATTATATTAAAATTAGCAACATGGTCGACCAACTGCGCAAGCTGAGAAGATGTGTGTTCGTATCTTTGAATACCTTCATGCCAACCACAATTACCAAACGGGAAAAACAAAAGGTATTGCAATGGATCATAACAACCATAATAATAATGAACCCTATGCGAATCACCAGAATGTCCATATATAGTAATATCGCGAACACGAATATTTGTGTTTTCATCATCCTCAACCCATACAACAGTTACTTGAGACGCCAACGGAATATTAAAGACTCTTTGATCGAGTCCTGGTTGACATCTTATTTGTATTTTATGCTCATGCAAACCGGTTATATTACTTAGATACCTAAAGAATTTACTATACGGATTTACCTTCAAAATTTCAATTAGAAGAAGCAAAGTAGATTCTACTAGATTTTTTGAAGTTTTCATACGATTTTGAAGTTCATTATCTGTATCATAAAAATATAATTGCATATAAGAAGGCGTATTATTATCCGATATAAGTTGATTTGCATAATAATATTCTTGTCCTTGAACTATAAATGTGTAAATACCTTTGTATGCTTTAAAGAGTTCCTTATCGTATTTTACACCAAATGAAGTGAAAGCAAAGTGATTGTTAGATCCACGCGTAAGTTTTTTAAATTTCATACATGCATGTTCTTTAGACGTAAATAAAGCGTACAATTCATTCGGTGAATCATGCATAAAAAGTTTAACTTTTCCATCAGAGCAACAAAAACCTTTAGTTTCTCTATACAATTTACGTGCGCCACTATGCTTATGATAAGTGCACATTGGTAATACATATGTAGTAGTTGATATATTAAACAGATTTGAACTTTCATGTAATTCGGAATCAACAACATTAATCGTCTCTTCATTCGAAGTAGAAGCCTTAGAATGAGACTGTATTATGCCCATAATCAACACCATAACTATAATTTTTAGATAACATTGGATCATTATCCTCTTACGAAAATTGATACTTACAGTTTCAATTCGATTCCTCCTATCCGCCTGCCTTCAATTTTGTTGTTGGCGAATGAAAGCATTATATGATTTATTTGTGCTTTGGGATAAAGTTTCAAGATCAAAATAACTAGGCTCGTCATTTGTATATTTTTGCAGAGAATCTGTCAGAACAATGAATTTATCACTGATTTGAATAATACGAAAAATTATTAATACAGTTAAAAACTAACAAATAACAATAATGCTACATTTAACACACTGTAAATAAGTGTACTAAATAAGAAAAAAATCTACGACAAAGAAAACATCCAACAAAAATATAAACTTCATAGCCATATCCAAGAAAAAAAGAAAACTCCATTTAGATTTTCACGTATATATAGAGATAAAAATATACCTCACATCTAGGTAGAGGAAGATGAGTCAAGCTACATTTTCATATATACACAGAAATAAAAACTACATACCTTAAATAAATAAATAAATAAATAACCCAAAAAACGGAAACACAAACAAAGAAAATAAAAAAAAATTGCAAGAACATACCCAAAATTAATCGTCGCAACTTCTTCCCTACGATTAAGATAAGGACTGCACGATTTTTTTCCCACAAAAAGAACAAAAATTTAGAGAGTTTTTTCCCGCAAATGAATGCTGAAATTTTGGAATTGAATGAGAGAGAATAAGTGACTTCAAAGAGTAATAAACAGTAGATTATTTATATTTTCTTAATAATATAATATAATAAAAAATACCAAACCACTTTGACTAAACCCATTTCGAACTAGTTAAATGTGAAAACGCATGTAATAAAAATGAATAATCTAGCTCTGCACAAAGAAGAGCACTTTAAGTTACTTTTTAAATTTAAAAAGTAATAATTCTATTATAATTGTAAAAAGTTACTTTATATAAGTGAAAATAAAAAAATATTAACTTAAAATTTTTTAAGTACAAATATTTACATCTATTTAATTTTTTAAATTTTAAATATTAATAAAAAGAATACACCATCTAGAATGTAAAAAGTTACTTATAAGTAAAAAAAATAACTTCAAATTATTTAAAAGTAATAAATAATTGTAAAAGGTACTTATAGATAAAAAAATATTAACTTTAACATTTTTAAGTAAATATTTAGATATATTTAATATTTTTAAAATTAAATATTATAAATTTTTACATTAAATAATTTTTTTTTTCAAAAAGGCTCCGTGCACGGAGTGTAAATGCTCTTGTGCAGACGAAATGATTTTCACTCCATGCACGGAGACACTCCGTGTATGAAGATTTTTTTTTTAAAAATTTATTCATAATAATTTTTTATTAATATATGAAGATTTTTAAAAAAAAAAATATTCATAATAATTTTTTATTAATAATTTTAAAAATATTAAATATATCTAAATTTACTTAAAAGTGTTGAAGTTAATATATATATATATTTTATCTATAAAACCTTTTACAATTATAGATTTTTTTATTAATTTTAAATAATTCGAAGTGATTTTTTTATTTATAAGTAACTTTTACATTCTAGATAGTCTAATCTTTTTATTAATATCTAAGAAAGGATAAGCAACTTTTAAGATAAGGAGAGATAAACAACTTTTTACATTCTAAATAGTGTATTCTTTTATGTAAATATTTATTACAAATAAGGAAAAAAATTCACCACTCTGTGCATGGAGTGGTTTCATTCCATAAAATGAGAGTTCTCTCATTTTGATGAAAAGTCAACTCCTTTTACTCTACTGTTCAAAGGAGAGATTCTCTCAACCCACGGAGAGTTTTTTTTTTTTTTTTTTTTTTTTTTTTTTGGGGGGAAATTTTTTTTTGAAAAAAAAATTTAATTTTTTTTTTTTTTATGGAGGGATAATTTTGTTAGTAGAAGAAATTTAACTTTTTTCATTTTTAATTAATAAAAACAATACATTTGATTTTTGTAACTTTCCTTTATTTTATTTGTTTTATTTAATTTAATAAAATAATCTTTATACATTCTTCATGATAGAACGACATTCATTCAATTTGAATTAAATATTTTTTAAATCATTTTTATTTATAATTTAGCCCTTGTTTGAGCCACATTGTTTAGAGAAAACTTCATTCTTAAACAGTGATTTGTTATCATTTCAACCACACATTCTTAAAAAAAAAAAATTACACGCAAATCTAATTTTTTTTATTTTTTAACCACGCTTTTCACATCATAACACTATTCAAAAATGCATTTTTTTTTGCAAAAATAGGGCTCAAACAAGAGCTTAATAACTTTATAAGAAATTATTTCTTTTTTTTTTTTGCGATTTCTTTTATTATATAATATAGTACTGCATTTAATTAAGTTAAAATGAAGTAGAGTGTGAAAATAGAGAAATCAGTGAAACGGCGTATGAAAACACTGAGATGGCGTGTGAAAATATTGCTACAGTGTGATTGAATAGAATAATTTATTGTTGCCAAACCAGTTTCAAAACAGCTTCGTGTGAAAATT